GCGGCGCGGCCTTTGTGCGGGCGGGGCCGGCACGGCGGCGAGCGGGCCTCGCGCGGGCTCCGCCGGTTGCCATGGAGACCGCGGGCTCCCCAGCGCTCGGCGGCGAGATAGGCCCCGCCCCCGGAAGTGACGGACGGCCCCCGCCTTGCACCGCGCAGCCCCGCCTCCCCGGCCACTGCGCGCGCCCGGCCTCAGCAGCCAATCAGTGATGAGCGTGGTCACTGCTCTTTTCGGGGTCACGACAGGTGCCTTTTCGTGCTTTCGTCTGCAATTCCTCCCCAGGCTGCCGGCAAACTCTTTTTGCAGGTGTTGTAATTCTTTAAATGAAGTCTATTTTTCTTTTTTGTTGTAACTTTAATGTAAATTCAATATAGTATATGTGCATTGTGGCAAACTTTAATGTCAAGGAAGTCTTCAGAAAAACTTCATATCACTCAGTGTCCCTCCACCTAGAGACAGCAAATAGTGATACTTCGGTAGTGCTTTCCAGTTATTTTTCTGTGATATATTCTATTACAAAATTTTCATTTCTTTACCTTATATACTGTTTTGTAACCTTAATAGCACATTGAATTTTGAGCGTTTTCTCATTAGAGGCAGTTCAAAAGCATGACTCTTAGTTATTGCCTAGTGTTCCACTGAAATCGTCTACCACCGTTTTTTTAACCATGCCCCTTTTGGTAAAGCTCTGGTTTATTTTCCACGCTGAAGTTTTAGAAACCACACTTCTACATAAATCCCAGCCCCCTTCTCTGCCAGGCTCTCCAGGGTAAATGCCACCAGGTGAAATTACTGGGCTAAAGAGTGTGAACAATTTGACTCGGTATCTGGAAGCCTTTCAGCTTGACCTCGCTGAGTTGCTTCTGAGTAGTCAATTCCAAGCTGGAGCTTGGCTGGAGAGAAAAGATACCCACCATGCCAGTCTACTGAGCATGCAGTCTTCAAGGAGGTGGAAGCTGCTGCCAGCCACCTGCGCTCCATAGGCAGGCCTGGAACAGAGTTGGATTCACTCACACCTTTACAGTTTTTACTGTGTAAGATAGGAATTGGGGCCTGAGGGTGTCAGTATGTGGAGAGGATACTTGTATTCTAGGGTGCCAAAGTGTGCACTTTTTGTGACTAGCTAGGGCATGAAGCAAGAGAGGAAAAAAGGAAGGCAGTGTGTCCTTAAACTGCTTCGGTGAGATCTCCCATATCAGATGGGGGCAGGAGCTGCATTAAACTTGACTAAGGTCAATAACTTCAAAAGCAGAAATTGGTGTGGACCCCGCTACTCTTTCCCTATTCTTCCAAACGCAGACAGGAATCTCCTTCCACTTCTGTGGATCACCCCATGGTCTCTCTGCCCTCGGTGGCAGGGTTGCACCTCCCCAGGCCCCTGGATGCTGTGCACATGAGTGAGGTTCTGCTGCAATGCCAGGTGTGGTTGGTACCAGAAATCTTAAATTCCCAAGTGCATTGAATACAAGGTGCACCCTAATTTAAGCATTGATAAAACATGAAATTGAAGAAATAATAATTTATTTGTATTTCACCTTATTTCGTATAGGATAGAAGATGGCAGTACATAAAAATAGAGCAAAATAAAAATTAAAAATTTTTTAAATAAGAAAAACAGAGGAAGAGTATTTGGCTTCTGATCCAGATGATGCTGTGATTCATACTCTGAAGTAGCTGTCTCTCCTGGGAACACAGGACAACAGTAAACTATACAAAGAATGTGTTGAAACGATATGGGTTGGTTCAAAAATACGGTATACTTCACTATGGCCCAGAAACACAAACTGCTGAGTAATGACAAAGCCATGGGCCTACTGGGCTTTGGGTCATGAGACATAATAGGGGCACAATGCAAGGAACAGAGTCTGGTTCCTGTTTGAAGCCAGGAACTGGGGGAGAGAGGGGTCACCCCTATATTACAAAGGAGTCAGACAAATCTGATTCAATCATTTCGTGGGGCCACAGCTTACGTAAAGGTGTGCACACGGACAAAGGAGAACACAGACACAGTCTCATGAGTCTTATGCCCCCTGGCTTGACAAGCAGACCACAGAGGGTCAGGATTCTAAGCCACCAACAAAACACATGGTTCTGTACTGCACGCCAGCCTTCAAATGAAGCAGCCCCAAACTGCTGGGGGGCGGGGACAGAGAGAGAGAGTTTTACCTCAATTGAGCCTCAAAATCAAAACTCTGAAGCCCATGAGGACATCTAATGCTAAGAATAACAGCAAAATCAATAATCAGAATATGAATTACCTCCAGATCAAATTAAAATAATAAAACAGTTGGGGGCGGAAGACTTTAAAGCAAGTATTTGGGGGATGCTCAGTGTGAACAATGAGGGAGTCATATTTGTGAAGAGAACAGAAATTGTGGGGGGAAAGTCATAATGTGACAAGATAAGGGAGCTGTAAAAAAAGTACCATTTTAAAGAAAATAGAGTTCATTTCTGTTCCTGGGGAGGTAAAATAGATGCATTCTTCCTTATTCTTTCCACAAAGCCCAACTAAAAACAACTTTTAAAAACCCTGCAAGAGTCTAAAAGGGGGAGAGAAGAAGCCAGCCTGGCTAGGGAGCTCAGGTCTCAAGAAATAATGCTGTTGCGAGTTCCCTGGGTTTTCTTCTGCCTCACTTATCCCAGACGAGGAGCCTAAGAAGCTGGCAACCTGGAAATGCCAATGGATACAGACCACAAACAAAATCCCAACAAAAGCCTGCTCTTGCTAGCCACGGGACTAGGACAGGGCCTCCTAGCAAACAGAAAACTTTTAGACAGTGACCACCCTATTCTAGCAAAACGCTGGCAATACTTCTCAAGGTTATCTACAGGTACAATATGGTCTTTGTAGAAAATCCCAAGGAATCTACAGAACAAACAAGCAACAACAGTAAAACCTTCTAGAACTAATAAGTGAGGGCAGCAAGGTCACAGGATATGAGATGAATATACAGAAATCAGTTTTATTTGCATATACTAGCAATGAACACGTGTACAGAAAAATTAAAAATACAATGTCACTTTCATTAAAAAAAACTCAGATATGAATCTAAAAAATATGTATGGGACTTGTATTCAGCAAACAATAAAACACTGATGAAAGAAATCAAAGAAGACCTAGGCGGAGAGAGACACACTGTGTCATGGATGGGAAGAGTCAACACAGCAAAGATGTCAGTTTTCCCCCAAGTGGATTTAAAGGTTTAAACAATGTCTATCAAAATTCAAGCAAGATTTTGCATAGATGTGGAGAAGATTATTCTAAAATGCATATGGAAAGGCAAAGGAACTAGAGTAGCTAAAACTATTTTGAAAAAGAAAAATAAAGTGGGAAGTATCAGTCTGTCTAATTTTAAGACTTACATAGCTACAGTAATTAAGACCATGTTATATTGGTGGAGGGATAGACACAAAGGTCAATGGAACATCATTAGCCATTAGGGAAATGAAAATCATGAATATACCCACAGTCATATGCCCAACTGAGTCTTTGCCAAGTTACCAAAGCAATTCAACGGAGGAAAGGCAGCCTTATCAATAAATGGTGCTGGAGCAATTGGACGCCTACAGGTTAAAAAGAAGAAGAATCTTGATCTAAGGGCACATCTTCTACAAAAATTATCTCAAAGTGGATCACAGATTTAAATGTAAGCCATAAAACTATATATACAGGATAAAATCTTTGGGATGTCGAGGAAGGCAAAGAATTCATAGACTTGACAGCAAAAGCACAACCCATGAAAAAGAAAAATTGGTAAATTGGACTCTACCACAATTTAAAACTTCTGCTCTGTGAAAGAGGATGAAAATACAAGGTAGAGATTGGGAGAGAATATTTGCAAGCCGCATGTCCTACAAAGGACTCGTGTCTAGAACATATAAAGAACTCTCAAACTCAGCAGTGACGCGAACGATCCAATTATAAAGTGGACAGAAGACATGAAAAGGCGTTT